GTTTTGGAGAGCTCATTGACAGATGTTCTAGAATTACTAGAATGCTTTTGAGCAAATCCTGTCCAGTATGAATGTCTTGTTTCTCTATTATTTTGTGCCTTTTTGTAATGTGTTTTATATTGGACAAAATAAATGAAATGAAAAGGCTATTAGCTGATTGGCCAGTTAAATCTCCCACGATCTTAATGCATATGGGATAATAGACAAACATGCACTAGCCCGATATAACAGAGTTACGACTTCAAAGTGTTGAAGAATAGATTAGAGGTTTCTTCAAGAAAGAAATTGTGGATCTTAAAGTCATGTTAAATGAGAATTTAGATGAATAGACAATTTAAAATGCTGATTTCTCCACAGACACATGCAGAAAAAAAAATGATGGTATTGAATTACCCACTTGGCAATCAATGCATACTGTATGCCCAAGAGTATAAATAGAACAAGACAGCCCAGTAGACTCGCTGGGAGCATGAAAAAACGATATACCTTTACACAGCTAATGGAGGACGCCGCCAGCTGTCATTTATGCTTTTCATTACCCAATATTGCACCACACATGGTTATTTTGTTTATCACTTTTACACATATATAGCACTTTCATAGAGGGCAGTAGATTTACTTCTTTTTCTTTATCATCTCACCATTTAAATGGGCGCACTTCCTCATACACAATGGATGCACTCCATGACAACAATGACGACTTCCATCGTAACTAGGGAAGTTATTTTACAAACGGGTGTATGCCCTCTTGTGTTATATACTCTTTGATATGACTTACCATTTCCTGAAATGCTGAGAGACGGTACAGACTGCTGCCTACCGCCCAACCTTACCGCGCTGCTACTGTCAGTTTCTTCTTGTTCATCTGAACCCACTGTATTCAAAGATGGCGTAGTTCTTGATCGCACCATGTTATTTGAATGATTTGCTGAACTGAAAAATGAATAATTAAAAAATGTGAATTTATAAAATTTAAAAATAGGTGTAAATATCATAATTATATTCTTTTATTTCACTTCATCTAAAAAAAAAAATACCAAACACGGATACAATAACAATGTTAGGATAAAACACAAAACGGGGACACCCCAAAAAGTTAATTAATTAATCACTGTCAGGTGGGGACCTTTCACAAAAAAAGAACAAATGTATAATTGTGTTTGCCCCCTTATCTTTAGTTCTATAGCTCTTTGAGTATTGTAGCCTTACATAATGAGAACATCTGTGAATTATGTGGCAGCCAACGATTGCTTGTCAATTGTCTTAAAATTTTGGGTGAACAATGCAGTGATGTTTGTTTTTTTTTTTGCTCAGTCTGTTCACTCAGCATTAAATACTTTTTTGGTTATACTACAATAAGTGTTGCTTTTAATCAATTTTTATAATTTTTTAAGTGCACTGTGACTTCGGTAAAATGCACTATATCAAATCCTACTACATTACATTGCATGCCTTGAATCCTAGCTGTTTTTTTTTTTATACTCAATTTGTGATGTACTTGTATATTTAGTTCTTTGGCATACTTTCTATCCACACACAAAATTGGGCGAATTAGGAGAGGCGAGAGGTACGGGCCTATACCTAGGGACTCTCTGTTTGAGAAAAAAAAAATCAGCTTTACAAGGAATCGCCCATCAAAGGTAAATTTTCAACACTGGAAGTCTACAGACAGCATATATTTCGCTATTTCCTCTGAAAAAATTTGTGAACTCCAGCTGATTTACTCAATCAAATCATATAGGCATACCGGGCAAAGACAAGGCGCGCTAACGTTAAGCCGGGCTTAACTCAAGCCCGGCTTATATCCAAGTCTGAATGTAGCCTATGTTGCCTGTTACAAATTGGTCACAAGGAAAAGAACGTGAATCAACTTTTGCTTGCACAACAAATGTCATACTAACAACATTAAATGTCATACTAACAACATTTTGTGTCCTACCACTGGACAATGAAAGCTTTGTAATGAATCCAAACGACATTTTAAATCATTGTTTGTATTAGTGTCATTAATACATCGTCACGTTATTACTATTGAATTAATGAAGCTACTGTTAACATAGCATGAATAGTTGAACAGTTGAACTTTTGTCCATAGAGTTGCTGACGTCACCACGCGACACGTTGCTGCTGAGCAATGCAGTAGATCCGGCCGAGATGCTCAACTAAAATAAAAAGCTATTTTGAATGACGTAACTTTCTAAGTTTATAACATTTAATCTTTATGTTTTTGTACTGTAAACATACTTTGACAGTATGATAACAGGTTTTTGTGTTTTTATTAGGTGTTTAATCAGAATTTATTCAATTTGTATACATCAGTTTAGACAGCCTTGGAAAAATGTGGCTAGCTATACACTGAGCCGTGAAAACCACCTGCGAATTGCTTGGTATCCGTGCAGTGGCACATGGTACCGTAACATACAGACACAACACATTATTACCCATGATCAATCATCTGAGTCGTAAACATCTCAATTTAGTAATTCATTTCAATGAGTAATACGCCCCAGGAAAGATGGCAAAAGTAAAATGTAGTAAATATAAATTTGTTATTTTCTGAAACAAATACTAAAAGCAAACCTCATTGGAATAACAAAATTTTACCCAACCAAAATACTTAATCACATTGTACTTAATTCTATTCACCTGCACACCCTGTGTGTAAATATCAAAACATTATTCATTACAAAACAAAAGTACTGGAGCAAATCATGGCTGCATGGCCCTAACTACAAGTTTCAGGTATGAAATTGAAAAGCGAAAATAAAAACATAACTACTAAAGAGACAAACAATAAATACCCGATTCACACGTGAAGTTAAATTTAACAAAAAGTAACAAATTGTAACCGAGCGATCTCCCGAGTTATTCCTACCGAGATAAAAAGCATTCACACGCGTCTGTAAGGTAATGCCAAGGTTG